CACTCATCTATAGTGGGCTGGTAGTGCGGCAATGTGTTGAAGCGCCGACGGCGGACACCATGGTACCTGGCCCCAATCTGATAGGCGAGCCTCCACACGGTGTTGGTGTGACCCCTCTCGGATGCATGAACAGCTTCACGTAGGAGGGCCTCGACATGTTCTGCATCCAATTTCTTTCTCGTTCGCTTAATTTCTCGCTCACAAGCCCGCGCAGCCAGTCGATCCTCCTCGCTGAAGCATCGCCTCCCGGGAGTCCGCCTCTTAGCCAGCAAGGTGTCCCGAAGCTCTATGTAATTGCGAGAAGGACCAGCAGCATCGGGCACCTCACAGGCTTCATGTGCTGCCGCTCGAACATCCTCGACCAACGACTGCCATGCCTCGGACGGGTCATCTGTGCGAACCTGCCGCTGCCAATCACTCGCATGTCGCTCGGACAGGCGCTCGATCTCCGCCATAAAGGTGAGGTCCCCTTCATGCTGGAGGAGTGCGGCAATCTGGTCATATCCCCAGCGAGGCCCCACTTCCTGCGGGGGCTCAAAGTGGAGCCTGTAGTGGAGGCGCCAGAGGAGCGGACAATGATCGCGAGGGGCCGCGTGAGGGATCTTCTGGAGGTCTCTCATGGCCGAGCGCAGCGTACAGCACGAGGCGGTCTGCGACACCGTGTCGCACGGCGCGAAGAAGTGGTCTGGGTTCGAGCGGTGGTGATCCCCTTGGCCGAAGTATGTCGGCCCCGTCGGAAAGAATGTGTCGATCGCCGCGAGGCCTTCCATGCGCATGACGCGCCAGAGCTCGGACGTCGTGTAGCTCTCGAAGGCCAGCTGATGTCTGCCCGTGTGCAGGTCGTCGGCCGTGAAGGAAGGCATCCCCTGGAGGGCCGCCGTCTTGCCGAATCCCGAGTTCGTGTCGGCTCCAATGAGCACCAGTGCCCGCCTCGGGGCGGCCTGGACCGTGTGGTGGATCCACTGCGTGAGCTTGGCCACGGTCGCCTTCCAGGAGTCGACCTGGTGGCGCTGGGGTGGCGGGTAGTATGCCGTGATCGCCAGGATGTCAAAATACGAGCTGCGAAGACGAACGGCTCCTCCTCGGCCTCTGAGGTCTCGTGGAGGCTCGATGATTTCTTGTATGTGACACCTTCTGAAAGCTCGAGACCTGAGCAGGATGCTGCAGCCCGCGCTCTTGTTGGTCATCGATCCTCTCTGCCAGCCAAACGACAGGTGAATGTGCTTGGCTGTCCTCGACACTGTCACGGGGTCACCTGCACGACGACGGGCTTGCGTCCCAGGGCACAGCACAATGTCGGCGAACGACAGCCGAGCAGAGACATCATGGACGCGCCAGGCGTCCGAAAGAGAGAGTGGATTGTATAGTATCGTCTGAAGAAGTGAAGCCCACATGGGCGGGTGGGAGCGGTCTGCAGGCGGGGGTGGTAACCTGCGGGGAAACAGGAACAGAGGGCCGCTCTCCCCCTGGGCCTGGGCCAGGGCCTAGGAGGAAAAGGAGGAGGTGGAGGAGGAGGAGATGGAGGAAGAGGAGGAGATGGAGGAGGAGGAGGAGGAGGAGGAGGAGGAGGAGGAAGGAGGGGCACCGTGGCGGAGATGAGGGAGTCGACCGCGTGCTTCAGTGCGCTCACCACCATCCCGCACGTGCCCCACGCCCCCTGACGCCATGCTGCTTTCACACTGTGGACCCCGAAGGTTTCGACCCGGGGCCCTTCCCTGGGTCCCTGGGACCCGCTCAGAAGCGTCCTAGATGTGGTCCGAGTAGATGGGGTCGACGGATTGCGCCGCATCGCCAATGCATCGCCGACACACCAGCGATGCATCGGCGACGTCGGAGTGGAGAAAATCGGGCTCCACATCGAGCCGCCTCGACGATGCACCCGCGATGCGGCGCGATCCCTCGATCCCCCCTCTGCTCCGACCCCACCTGTCGGGGGATCGAGAGGGTAGGATAATTAGCAAAGGGCAGGGTACAGTCAACCCATACTACAATAGGGACGCACGATCAGGATGCAAGGGCCTTGGAAGGCCACATCGAAGCTTTACGAGCGGGGCGTGGCCAACGAAAGCGGCCAAGGATGGACCGAGGAGGCAAGGATGCAAGGGTACCCTTGGGAAGGTTACCCATCATTACTATGTGGGTTGACTGTAGAGACGCAGCTTCAGCAGCTGGTTTTCCAGGCGTCTCCTGGCGCCAGGCGGCGCCCATGCATCGAAGCAGGGGCCTGGCGGCGGGGCGGAAACCAGCCCTGCACGCAGCACACTTCGCAACCCCCCTTTCCCTGCTCTGCCCTTTCGTCCGGCCAGAATCTGGGAGGCCTCGAGACGTCGCCTGTCTTCAGAATCTGGCCCAGACATGTGACGTTCAATTTTTTCAGTACTGGGTCCCTGGAAGTCCCGACCCCTTCCCCGGGGCCGGTCTGTCGTCCTGCAGGGTCGCTTTTTGACGCTCCCGAGGCCCGGCGAGGGCTCCCCGAGGCCAGAATTGGCAAAAAACTTGCCGTCCTGATTCTTTATCACGCGATCATGTCTGAGGAGGAGGAGGAGGAGGAGGAGGAGGAGGAGGAGGAGGACAAGGAGGACAAGGAGGAGGAGGAGAAGGAGGAGGAAGAGGAGGAGGAGGAGGAGGAGGAGGAGGGGGCCTCGAGACGTGGCACTTCTTTCTTCGCTCGCGCGCGCGTCGCCAACGTCCACGGCGCCTTCCCGGTGCTTGGGCGTGGCGGGCCCTCTCCGCCGAGCCCGGCCGGGCCGGGCCGACGCCGCGCCCATGGCCTCCCTGTCGGGCAGGCGGTGTGGCGGCCTCTCGCGTGGCTGCGGGCGCACTCCCGGCGCCCAGCACGCACGCGCGGGCGAGCAGAGATCCGGCGGCGCGCCAGGGGTGGATGATGATGATGATGATGATGATGATGATGATGATGATGATGATGATGATGATGAGGAGGAGGAGGAGGAGGAGGAGGAGGAGGAGGAGGAGGAGGAGGAGGAGGAGGGAGGAGGAGGAGGGGGGGGGGTGAGGCTTCGGACTGCGCACATGCAGCCCCTCCAGGTAATCAGCACCGGCTGGCCTCAGCAGGTCCCCGAGTATAGTCCCGGCTGGCCCCAACAGGCCCCCCGAGTAGGCCAGGGCGGTCTCGACTCCCTAACCTTGGTGCGCGGAGCGCCTGGGGGCGCCGCCGGAGGCGGCGCTAGGGTGGGGCCTCTTTTGAGGCCAGCTGGGACTGCCTAGGGGAGCTGTCTGTGCGCAGCCCGAAGCCTCACCAAGGGGGGGCGGGGGGCCACGGTGGAGCCCTTCTATAAGAAGGGGCGGGGCGGCCGAGGGGGGGGGGGGGCCTTCTAAGAAAGCGAGGGCCCACCCCCGGGCAGACCCTGATAGTTTCAGGGGCCGCCAGGGCCCTCACGGAGGAGGCCCCTGCCCTCCAGGGGGCCTCCTGGCCTTCTCGGCAGGCCGCCCCCCCTCGCAGCCGCCCCGTCCCCTGCTGGCCATCGCTCGGACGTCCATTCCCTGTGCTTTTTGTTCCGTTTCGTGCGTGGTTTCTTCGCCAAATGATCGAGGATGCTCCTCGATGGTCCTCGCCGAAGGGAAAAAATGTACACGTCCGAGCGATGCCAAGCCTGTGGCGCGCCGCCGGCGAGCGGTTGAAGAATAGGGGCTCTCGCGGCTCCCCCTGCCGTGGTCGGTTGGGTTCGACGCGGCGGGCCTCCCTCCCCCTCGTGAGAAGGTCGACGAGGAGCGGGAGGAGCAAGGAGGAGCAAGGAGGAGGACTCGACGAGAAGAGGCCTCCCTGCCTCTCCTCTCCTGTGCCGCGTGCGCCCCCTGTACCCAGACATGCGACGTCCTGATGTTTTCAGCGCGGGGTCCCTGGAAGTCCCGACCCTTTCCCCGGGACCGGCTTTTCATCCTGAAGCGTTCTTTGACGCTCCCGAGGCCCGGCGAGAGCCCCCCGAGGCCTCGGGGGGCCCTCGCCGGGCCTCGGCCGGCCGAAACAGGCCACAATACCTCCCGTCCCGTTTCGCTCTACGACGCGGCCAGGTCTGGGCAGAAGGACGACGCGCGACATACGCATGCCATGCCAGATGCCCGCGCGAAGTTCTCCGGTCCGCACTGAAAAGACCGGGTCCCCCCCCTGGCGCGCGGAGAGCGCGCCAGGAGCGGCGCCGGAGCCGCCGCCCTGTATAGGGGAGGTCCAGCGCCGAGCGCGGTAGTCCGAGCGGACCTCTGCAAGCCTGAGGTTAGTGAGGAAGATAGTTTCGGGGATGGGCAGACCCCCCTTTAGCACAACGTGGTTTAGTGAAAACGACCTGACGCCCAAACCTGGCGGGCGCAAGCCTGGAAAATAACGGCCACGGCGCCCTCTCGAAAACCGAAAAAGGACACTTCACTAATCGACGTGTCACCGTTGGGGGTTCTGTCCACCCACGATACTTGCCGTGTTGGGAGGAAGGGGTTGGGAAGATGACGGGCACGAGCAAGGCTGATTAGAAGAATCACAAGCGCCACGAACGTAAATTTGTAGCGCTCCGCGCGGACTTCTTGGATCCGCGCTGGGCCCCCCCTCCCTGGCGCGCGCAGCGCGCCAGGGGCGCCGCCGGAGGCGCCACCGGGGGGGGGGGCCAGCGTGGATCCAAGAAATCCGCGCGGAGCGCCGAAAGTTTATGCTTACGGCGTTCTTTCTTCTTCGACACATGTTAGTCGAATGCCCGTCCTTCCCTCCTCGAACCTATGGCGCGATCGGCGCAAAAAACGGGTGTCGATGGCTACTTCCATCAGTGAGCTCAGCCAGCAAGACTTGAGTAGAACAACTATCGGGCATGAGCAATAGCACCCGGATGCAATGAACGCTGCCTTCGGCCGTGCACGAGTAATTCATGGTCCCCTCATTTCTTCTCCCAACCCCATCCCCCCAACCCGAGAACGGTCTTCCTGAAGAGTGCCCCCGCCCCAAAGCGCTGCGCTTCCCCTCACGCAGCGATCCGGAGGGGGGGCCGCCCTGGACAGCTCGCTCACCAGGGCCTCGACCATGCGCCATCTGGGCAGCCCGCCATCCCATTACTAGATGCCTCCGAAGTGGGGTCCGAGTAGATGGGGTCGAAGGATCGCGCCGCATCGCCGATACATCGCCGATGTGTCGGCGATGCATCGGCGATGCATCGGCGACGTCGGCGATGCATCGGCGACGTCGGCGTGGGAAAACACGGGCTCCACATCGAGCCGCATCGTCGATGCGGCGGGATCCTCCGACCCCATCCACTCGGACCCCATCTAGGAGGCCTAGAACTGGTCGCCAGACCTCTCATCACAGTGAACTGGTCACGACGGAAGGGTTCTGCCATGTTTCTGCCTCTGGGTGCACTGACAGGGCCCCAGGGCCGACAAGAAACGCTTCGGGGTCAGAAGCCGGTCCCATGGGAAAGGTCCCAAGGGTTAGAAGCCGGTCCACGTTGTGAAACAATCTCGACGTCGGAGGTCTGGGTCTCCGTGAAAATCCCGACCGGGGGCGTCACGCCCCAAGTGGGCGGCATGCCAGTGCCCACGTCAAGCAAGAGCCCTGGCGGCGTCTGCATCGGCACCTCGCCTATCGCGCCCCACTGCGCTGGGTAGGGCGTGAAGCCCAGATCGGCACCGGCGTTGGTGATGCCGCTGGCGACAGCGGTGCCCCAACGCGAGCGTGTCGGCAAATGGGAGGGGATCCACGCCATTCTCGGCTGCTTAATCACGACCTCGTTGCGGTGCGCGACATGGGCCAGCGGGAAAATGTTGCGCAGAGGTGCCAGCTTGAAGAGGTCGGTCAGCTTGTTGCACTTGAAATCCTTCTCGCTGAGAGTGCGGTGGGTGTACGTTCGGATGTGCTGCTTCAAGAGGTTCAGCGGCACGCCCTCCGGAAATCTCTGCACGACCGCCAGCAAGACCAGCGTCAAGTCCTCCGTGGTCTTGATGTCGCCCTTCTTGGCATCCTTCTTCGAGGCCGCGGCCGACTTCCGCGGGCCTGGCTGCACCGTACGCGCCGCCCTCAGGGAATCACCGACGCTGCAAAGAAGCCGGCGCTTACCCATGGCCAGACGCACTATGTGCTCCACCTCCCTCAGAGACAAGCCCTGAAAGAAGGGAAGCTGGCGGCGCTGCAGGTGCTGCGCAGCCGTGTGTGGCGGGCCAGGGAGGCTCACTGGCGCCTGGCCACCAGCGTCCTGCAGGTACTCGGAGAAGGCACCCCACATGTCCTGCCCGTAGCTGTCCTCCTGAGCATCCACGTCCACCCAGCCCCGGAAGGACGTGGGCTCCTCCGCGAGCCGCAGCACTGGCGGGCTGCCGTGCATGGGCGGGTCCAAGGCGAAGCGGGGGTCCCGAGCACACATCGGCAGCAGCGCCTGCACCGCGGCTTCCGTCGGGCCTCGGTCCCAGCGCGCCACGGCCAGCAGCTCCCGGAGCCTGCGCTGCACGGTGCCCAGGGCGGGCCGGATGCGGTCGCCGTACAGGGCCCTCACGCACTCGAAGACCAGGCCCTCGAGCTCCGCCTTCCTCTCCTCGGTGATGTCTGGGTGCAGGGGCCGCTGCCGCAGCACCCGCAGGAAGGCCCGCACCCCCTCCGGGGAGGGCCCCGCCGGCCGCGGGCCCGGCGACGGGGCGGCGGCGGGGAGCCCCAGCTGAGCCGCCGCGTCGGCGGCGGGCTCTGCCGCGGTGGTCGCCGCCGGGGAAGCGGGCGCGGCGGGGGTGCGCGGCTCCGCGGGCGGGGTCGTGCGGGCCACGGCGGCGCGGTCGGCGTTGCCGCCGCCAGCAGGCACGGAGCACCCCTCGGCTGCCGGTGGACGGCTGCCCTCGTCCTCGTCGTCGTCCTCATCCTCGTCGCCCCCGGCCAGGAAGAGCTGCACCGCCGACGCGAGGTCCTTGGCGTAGCCGTCCTCTGGCGAGGGCTCGCCGGTGGACTGCTGGCTCTGCTGCTGCGGCTCCTCCTGTTTCCAAAGCTGGCGGTGCAGCCTTGCCACGAGTGCGTTGGAGTCCATGGCCACCTCTGGATCATTGGCCTGCTCCTCCTTGCCTGGGCCCTGGTTGGCTGTCCCGCCAGTGCAGCCCCCGTCTGCGGCAGTGGATATCTCCGTTGCAGGCGCGCTCGAGTCATCCTGGAAAAGAGGCCAACCCGCGGATACTCCTCCAGTCGATGCCGCCTGCGACCACGCCGCCCATGGCGAGGCAGCGGCATAGGCCCTCACCGATGAATACCCGAACCCGCTCTCACTCCCAGGCCGTCAGGACGAGTTGGTTGAGCCCACCCTGACCGAAAATCCCCATGGTCTGATGCAGGGGTGCTGGCTTCCAGCTCGGCCCTGCCAGGGGGCGGGGCAGGCGTCGGTGCTCGGTTGGCTCGGAGGCTGCCAGGAGTGACCCCGGCCCAAGGTGCCCCCAGCTCTCCGCGCCGCCCCGGGGAGCCCTTTTGGCCCCTCGGGGCCTCGCGGGGGACGCTCTGGAGGCCCTCCCTGGGCAAGCTGGCGCCGCCTCGGGCCAGGGCCACCCCCGGCGGCCGCGGCGAGACGCCCATGGCCCGTGGGGAGGCTGCGCGAGGGGCAGCGCCGCGGCGCCGCTCGCGGCCCCCTGCCGCTGGCGCCACGCGGCCCAGGCGGCCGCGGCGTGGTGGGCCAGAGCGCCGCCGGCGGCGGGCGCCCCCTCGCGGGCCCCTGCCCGCGGCGGCGGGGCAGGCCCCCCGGCAGGGGCCCGCGGCGGCCAGGCGGCCCGAGGCGCTCCCGAGGCTGCGCCCCGGAGGCCCGCCGCGATCGCACCGTCGGCCGCCGGGCCCGTCGGCCGCTGCGCCCGCAGGGCGGCGCGGGGCGGACTTGCCATCGCGGCGCGGGCTGGCCCGGGCTGGATCACGCAGCCACCGTCGAGGGCCGGGGCGGGGTGCCCTGGTGGGCGGCGCGCTGGCGCCGTCGGACACCGGGGCGGCCCCGGGCCCCCCTCGCGCGGCGCGGGCCCTGCTCGCCGCCGAGCAGGGGAGCTTGTGAGCCAGACTGCTGGGTCACCCGGCAGGGCCCCCGGCGCTCGTTCCAGCCGAAGGAGGGGGAACGGAGGGGCTCGCTGAGCTCCACGGATTCGGCCCGAACGCCACGGATTCGGCCCGAACGCCAGCTTCCTACCCAGCCTGCGCCCCAAACTTCAAGCTCCGCCGCCTCTTCAGCTTTAGGTGCAATTCAGCTGCGCTCGTCTCGGTCCAGCTTAGGATGCATCGCTACGCTTAGCGTAGCTGGACCCCACGAATATCAGCACGATCTGACTTGTCATTTCTGGCTTGATCCAAGTTTGGCACTCATAGGAAGTCAAACCAATGCATGCTTAGTTGGGATCAGATCAGCTTCGCAAACATCGTGGGGTAGATAACTTCGCATTATCAGCTGAGGCCTACTTCCCTCAACGCTGTTGATCATATACTGGCTTGCATGCGATGGTGATGTCGCTGCACTCCAGCGCCATCGCGCGTGTGCTCCAGAACCGCATTCAGCTTGAACTGTCGATCTGTATTTGGAGCTGGCTTCTGATGTTTAGCCGGCCACCGCCAACTTTCAGAAGGACTGTCGCCGTGCAAAATCTGGTGCCTTACACGAGGCGCTGGACGCAGCCGCGAATCCAGTTGCTCGGACAGCACGCGTGGGAAACGTGGCAGGGTGAGGCAACACCAGACTGATCCCCTTCTGAGTTCGCAAGATATCCCATGAGAGATGATGAGACTCACGAGCACTGCATGCAGTAATAACTGCCATGTAGCTGATCGTTCGGCCGAGCACGCACAAGCAGCCCGAGATCCCAGGGCTGCTTGTGTTGTGTGTGAGTTGCGGGGGGGCATCTGGAGTGCTCCGTCCAGGCTTTGGCCCTGGTGCGGTCGCAGACATGCAACGTTCTGATTTCTTCAATCGATTTCCTCCTAGATGGCCCAAATATTGCCCCGAGGCTCCCAAAGGGTGCCCCAAGACAGCTCCAAGAGGTGTCCAGGAGGCCCCAAGAGGCCCCCTGGAGGCCCTTAAGGTGCCGCCAGGTCCCCAAGAGGCCCCAAGAGGCGTCCCAGATGCTTACGCCCCAAGATGCCTCGGCGAGAAGGCCAAAACCACTGATGTTACTTAGGTTTCGGCTACGTGTTAGCCTCCTCGAGGAGGGAACCCTCCTAATTAAGGAGTCACCCTCCTTGAACCGATCTCCTCCGAGATGGCCGCAAGATGGCACCCGAGGCTCCCAAGGGCGCCCCCAGGCACAGCCCAAAGATGTGCCCAGGAGACCCCAAGAGACCCCCAAGTGGCTCCCACGAGATCCCCCGAAGGTCCCAAGGGGCCCATCAGAGGCACCCAATGCGCCCCAAGAGGCCTCGGTGATGATACAGCATATTTGCTTGTACGCAGGCTTTGGCCACAAGTTGGCCTCCTGGTGGGCGACCCTGATGTACAACGGCCCCTCCTTTGACCGATCTCCTCCAAGATGGCCCCGAGATGGCCCCCGAGGCTCCCAAGGGTGCCCCAAGACAGCCCCAAGAGTTGCCCAGGAGGCCCCCAGGAGGCTCCCAAAGTGCCCACGAGAGGCTCCCACGTGACCCCCAAGAGGCCCCAAGAGCCTCCCCAGAGGCACCCAAGACGCTCCAAAATGCCACTGGGACTGCCAAGAGACCCGCAAAACACACCAGAAGGACTCCACAAAGCTCTCGGAAGAAATCCGAAGAGACTCAGAGAGGCATCCAAAAGGCTTCTCGCCTCCCTGCTCGCCCTACTCCTCCTCCTCCTCTTCCTCATCCGCCTGTTCCTCCTCCTCCCTCCTCCCTCCTCCCTCCTCCCTCCTCCCCCTCCTCCTCTCCCTCCTCCTCCTCCTCCTCCTTCTCCTTCGCCTCCTCCTCCTCCTCCTCCTCCTCCTCCTCCTCTTCGTCCTGTTCGTCCGAATCCTCCTCCATCCTCCCCTTCTTGGGGTGTGACGTCCTACCCAGCCCTTTATTCCACTGCTCCTCCACAACCCTGATCCTAACAACTCGTTTGGGCATCGTTTCTGGATGAGCTGGTAGGGGTTCCGCGAAGCGTCTGGAATATACCCATACTACATGTATACCATAACAGGAGAAGCCATACCATAATATACCGGGACATATCATACCATTTTAACACACCACCTATTCTGAATCAAAGAGTAACATATAATCATGTATAACAAGACACAGCAATGCATACTGCAACATACGATACGAACCGGGACTATGGCACGACATACAATACCAACTATGATAAAACAAGTAATGTAGTCGGGTCGACCTGAACGTCTGATATTCTAACACAACACAACAACGACCGTTTGTTAGATCTTCAGAACAGAAGAATCATGTTCCCGACCCGCCATTCCCACCGTGCATACCGTGGCCGCCACATCCCCAGGACCACCGGTAATGCCTTGGTCCGCCTCGCGATGTCTTTGACGAATGCACGGCGTCACGCCGTCTAGGCGTGACAACATCACGCCGCTTGCGCTACAAACCTGGATTGCATGCAGAACATCAATACAATAGCGGAGGCGATGTTTTGTAGAGATGCAGAGAACATGGCATGATCTCATTCAATAAACTCAACGAGAAAACCACATACCAGAACATACTACCTCCCCAAAGAGAACTGTATTTCACCTGTGGCTCGGAACAACGGTCTGACGTCTGGAACAGACGCGCCTGGGAATACCGCTGTCGGATCCAATGAAGTTCGTGCGGGTCCAAATTTTGGTTTGGTTTCTGTCTCGGTGGATCCGATGTCCGCCCGCGCGGATCCGATGTCGGATTGTCTAGATCCGCGCCCGGCCCTAGTTTTTGCAGCAGATCCGATGTTCACCCCATTATCAATTTGCCGTTCTTGAGAGAAACCGGACCAAATCTGCTCTGCGGACCCCACGACCCACCCGCGTTGAGATTTCACGAGGGAGGGGGGTTCCTGTCGCCACCTTCCCAGGATGGGGCCCAGCGCTGTCTCGCGCTCTCCCATCAACGTTCCACGCGCGCGGGCCTTACTCAACATGAATACATATATTCCCTTCCGGTTGCTGCTCGCAGATCGTCCAAACGCCGTCCGTTCGGCGGAGTCGATGTTATCTCGCGAACTCATCATCGCTAAATCCACAATCCACCTCAAGAAAAAAATCCTTCGCCCTGCGCAAGTATGCTGTAGCCACAAAGAACATAAAGAAACAACACGTGCTAGCATATCATACCATTGAACGGGAGGGGGCAGAACTGATTGTACAATAAAAGACTGTACGCTAGTATTACACAACAGAACTAACACTATTACACCAGTCGTTACACAATGCAACACACATTAACACACAAACCGATATCGTATCATAGCGAACGGGAGCGGGAGAGAGTAGAGCCGATCAGAACATGTTGTGGTGAAGCAGGGTATACCATCACCTGGCATACAGTATGACATACCGTTTTGGTAAGAGGTCGAAAGTCAAGCAGGACATACCATACTAGGACACACCATCTTGCAACACACCACAACAACAACTTGTAGACGATATCCTACTAACTTATAGTGGGACAGCCTATACCAGCATACACCGTACTCTACCGTGACAACACAACTTACGGATAGTATCATAGTCTGCAATACGGCATACTTGGACATAACACACCATACTATCTCCCACGGAAATAACACATGATATACCATACCTGTACCACCGTTGAGCACAACGTACTGGAACAACACATAGTGATTCAGGCATCAGTTAACAGCTCATATTACTACCTTGTCTAAGACCGTATCAAACGCCATGACCATACTAGCAGCATAGCATGGGTCATCATATAAACTAAGAGGGTAGCATCATACATGCCTCCACCAAGATTTGCTCCGTCCGCTTCCTCTGCGGTATTGTTGCACACATCTTTTCAGTAGGAACGCGCGCCGTTTGGGACAAACGCCGAAGGCTTCGGTGGGGATCTTTCGAAGCAGAATAATTGACATCACTGTGAATTTGGTACTGGCGAGTTTGCTTGCATGAAGCGGGGGCTCCCCCGCGAGCACTTACGAGATCGCTGGAGATCACGCGCGTCGAGCGGTACTTGCACGCTGCCCTGGCGGAGTACCGAAAGAAAGGCAGCGAGGGAGGTGATGGGCCCAATTTTCCACCACCACCACATGTAGGAGATGCAGGAGGAGGAGGAGGATGAGGACCTCCCTTCTCCTGAGCACTTTCTTAGGGTGGAAGGCTCAGGGTGAAATCCACATGGGCTTTCGCACCTCGAAAATCAATCCGTCTTGTGATTCACCATTTGCAGATTCAAGCGTCGACGATCAATCGAAACGGCATTTCAGATTTCACCTTTGCCCTCCACCCAGAGAAGATGCGAGCTTCTCCCCCGTCCTGCTAATATGGTACTGTGGTGGTGGAAAACTTGCCCATGAAGGAGAGGGGGAGGCAAACTGCCATACGAGCGTGGCCTTTGGGGGGCCGCGGGGGGACCAAACACAAGCGCGCACAACGCTGCTGCCCCATCGCGCTCGGCGGCCTGGGGGCCCCACTGGGCCCGCACCGAAGGCCACTCTGGCGAAAGGTCACTCTTCCGTCGATTCGCGTGCGGGACCCCGGCGAGGCCTGGACCGGGCCCTCCGCGAACTCCCGCGCATGGGCGGCAGGCCCGAGGCCCCCGCTCTCGCTCCTGCGCAGCCCCTCCATGCCGCACTCGTTGTAGATGCGCCGGCGCTCGGGGTCCTCCGCTGCCCCCCAAGAGGGGAGGCTTGGGGAGCTGGGGGGGGGGGGAAGGGGAGGGAGGAGGGAGGGCGAGGAAGCGGGAGGAAGGGGGAGGGGACGCAGGAGGAAGGGGGGGAGGAGGAGCAGCGGGGGAGGGAGGACGGGGGGGGAGGGCGGAGGAAGGAGGTAGGGGAAGGGGAGGGACCTCTCGTGTCGATCATCTGAGGGGCGGGAGGAGGGGGAGGGAGAATGGAGGGAGGAAGAGAAAGGAAGAGCAGGAACGAGGGAGGGAAGGGGGAAGGAGGAGGAAGAAAGGGAGAGGAGGAGGAGGAGGAGGAGGAGGAGGAGGAGGAGGAGGAGAGGACGGAGAGAGGAGGAGGAGAGGAGGAGAGGAGGAGGAGGAGGAGGAGAGAAGAGAGGAGGAGGAAGGAGGAGGAGGAGGAGGAGGAGGAGGAGGAGGAGGAGGAGGAGAAGGAGGAGGAGGAGGAGGAGGAGGAGGAGGAGGAGGAGGAGGAGGAGAGAGGAGGAAGAAAGGACGAGGAAGGAGGCCGGAAGGAGAGGGAGGACAGGAAAGAGGGGGAGGAAGAGGAAGGAGGATGTGCAGAGTCACCGCGCTACCACCACGGGCGCCAAACAAGGAACGAATCCACTTTTTGGCCACGAATGGCCCGGAAACCAGAGCCCCTCTTGTGCCCGAAGTGGTCCTCACTGCCACGTCTTGACGGTGCACAGAACTCCCGTCGTGGCGAAACTCGGGGGCGGCCAAGAGGGGGGCGTCCAAGAGGGGGGGGGCGCAAATCATGGCCGTCGGCACGTGCGCGGCCCATGGGGCGGGGCGGGGACGTAGTGAAACAAGACGAGGCATTATGAAATCTGGGAAGATATCATGGTCCCCGCCATGATATCCACCCTCCCCTAGTCATCACCCCCCTCTGAGCCGCATCTGATGAACCACGGCGGGATTTGTTGTCGCCCCTTTCCGCGGCCTGTACCCGGGACCGTGCAAAACGACTCGGGCTGGGAGAACCGGTCCTGGGGAAAAGGTCCAGGTCACCTCCTGGGAGCAGAAGCAGAACAAACGGCGTAAACATAAGCTTTTGGCGCTCCGCGCGGAATTCTTGGATCTGCGCTGGACCCCCCTTCCTGGGGAAATTTTTGATTTGCCATTTTTTCTTCTTCGAGTGAGAAGCCAGTCCCGGTGAAAAGGTCCAGATCACCTCTGGGAGGTCGAGGCCACCAGGACGAAGGCAGGATGAGGAGGAGGAAGAGGAGGAGGAGGATGAGGACCAGTGCAAACCCAAGAATCATCAACGATGTTGGAATACACCCTCCCTCCAAGCTCCCTCCTCATAGGCCCCTACAACGGTTCATTTTCACTGAAGGAACTGCCTCGTTGGCAGACAACCGTTTGAAGACCCTGAAGCATGCCAAAACATTGTGCTCGGAATTCCAACGCCACAAATCAACCTGACTGTTGCGTCTTGACGATCCGCACTCGTGCCAGAACGCCATTCCTGGGACATCAACACCGCGAATTAACATAATTGGTGCACCCTCATAATCCTGAATCCTTCCAAAACACCATGTCTGGTACGCTAATCATGGGAATCCGTGAAAATCTTGCAAAGATCGATAACGACTGTGCGCGGCGCTACGGCGAGAACGACATTTTGAAAAAGAGCCGCCCTCAATCCGTGAAACTCTTTGCAAATCGTTGAAAACAAATGTGCGCGGCGCTAAAACGAACATCACATTTTGAAAACGGCCCGCCCTCAATCCGTGAAGCCCTTGCAAATGTTTGAAAACGAATGTGAACGACGCTGAAACGAAAGCTAAATTTTGAAAACGACTCGCGCTCCATATGTGAGTCCCTTGCATTTTTTGAAAAAACGGGTGTGCGAGGCGCTAAAGGCCAGAACCACATTTTGAAAACGACTCGCTTTCCATGTATGAAACTCTTGCAAATATTTAAAACGAATGCTCGCGATGTTAAGGCGAGAGCTACATTTTGAAAACCACCCGCCTCCACATGCGAAACTGTTGCCCGTGTCTAAGCTTCAGAGTCATAGATGGTGACGAAATCTCCGGCGAAACGCCCGGCCCGGCCTAAAAACTGGCCTCGGGGTGACAGGGGGAAATGAGGAGGAGGCGGAGGAGGAGGAGGGGGGGGAGGAGGAGGAAGAGGACGAGGAGGAAGAGGAGGAGGAGGATCTGCACCTGGCTCAAGGCGACGCACACAGAACATGGCAGGCCGCGCTCTGGACGTGCTCGGCCTCTGCGAGATCCGCTTCCCCGCCCTGTGGCCGTCCACACCGACTAACAATACGAGAAACCAGTCCTCGGGAGGAAGTCCAGAACTCCAGGGTTCCACGATGTGAACAAATCACGACGCTAGAGGTCTGAGAAAGAGGGAGGAGGATGCAGCAGGAAGGATGAGGGGTAAGGAAGAAAGCACGTGTACCCTCAAATCAAGGCGGCATCAACAAACACTCACGATGAAATGCTGGCCCTGAGGAAGGGGTCGAGACCCTCGGGGATCCATGTCACGAAAAATGCGACATTGGAGGGCAGGATAACTGGACATAGCTTGTGAAACTAATGACGGAGGAGCGAATCGATCGGCCCTCGCGGGCTGATCTTCCACCCACCTGATCGAAAGGTACGGGCTCAATAAAACACAACTGCTGGTAAGCGCGTCGCGCAACCCAGGCTTTCCCCAGGCTCTGCACGAAGCGCCTCAAACCTATCGCTGAAGACTCTGGACGATGAGGCAGAGAGGAGGGGTGTCGCGATAGCAGTTCCAGCGAGTCAGCAGGCCTGCCCCCCCCTTCCATGGCATAGTTATCAGCGCCAGGGCAGCTGGAAATATAAGGCGCTCGCTCACGTGCGGACCCACTTCAGATGAATTGGCCGAGGAAGCATGCGCCGCGACCAAGCGGGAACGAAACTTTCAAAAACATCTGCGCGGCGCTGAAGCGACAACACCATTTCGTTCACTCGATCGCGGGCCCATCTTCGACGCGGGTGAGGGAAGAGCGTGCGTAGCATCGATGAGGCAACGGGGCTTTCAGCGGTGACCCGCGCGCTTCTGAGACGAGAGCAACAGTCTGCTCCCTCCCGCGCGGCTACGCTGGGGAAACCCAAAGGTACCGATACCGCTGCTCCCCAGACCTCGCACGGGGTGCGCTCTGCCCAGGAGAATTTCGAGGCGCATCCAGCGGTGGCGACCAGGGCATCCCAGGAAGCCCAAGGCGGGCAACAAAACCGGCGGCGGGCGGCGGCATGGCTACCCCGTCCTCCTCCGCTGCGCCTCCCAGGGCCCGGCGGAGGAGAGCACACGCACGCGTCGCGCCCCCGCGCGGGAGCGCAGCGCGGGCACCCCCGCGCGGCGCGGAAGCGACGGCAGCGCTCCGCTCTCCCCCGTCCGCGCGCGGCTCCGCTCCTGGCGGCATGCCGAGGGGAAGGGCCCACGCGCCGCGCCCCAGTGAGAGAGCAGCATTTCGGAGGTGCGCGCGCAGCGCTGGAGCGGAAATGGTCTGTCCCTCAGCGCCCCACAAACGGGGACTCCACTAACGGGTACTTTGGCCAGTGACCCAGCGAACCGAACCCTTCCCGATGCGGACAACGCTGCATTGCCAGAAAGAGGCCCTAAAATGGCAACTTTCGGCAAAATTGCAAAGTACCCGTTAGTAAGTACCCGTTACGGTGCCGTTGAGTCCCTCCTGCGCGCGCGGCCCCGGGGCCGGAGAAGCAGCCGAAAGGCAGGCCCGCTCAAAAGAAGCAGTGCGCCGCCGCCTGCGGGAGAGCAGCCTTCCGCCGATTCGCTCGCTGGCGCACTGCCCAGCCGGCCCTGTCGGACTGGCGAGCACAGGGCACAAACAGGCCGCGCCCGAGCGGGAACGGAAGCTTCAGCGAAGCCTGGGGAGTGCTCGGGCGGCAGAAACATGCCGTGCTCCCGCGCCCCGCGTCGGACGACTTTGGGGCAGAAGCCCAGACACCGCGCCAAAGTGGGAACGCAACTTTCAGGAGACGTCTTCGCGGAACTGGGGCAGGCACGCCATGTCGTTCTCCAGCGCGCGATCAGCGCCGCGCCCCATGTCCGCCACGGATCTTGCAATGTCGACGACAGCATCTGGTTGAAAAGAATCACGTCAACTGTGTACTGTGCCACTGTCGGCTATCAGGCCAAACGAAACGGCGGCAGAATCACTGAGTAAGGGATAGTGAGACTGGGACAAACATGGCGTGGAACATATCGATTTGGAGGAGCATGGCAGTACAGACAGACAGGATGATGAGGAACTGCAGGACGAGTGTTGAAGAGCAGGGAGAGGGCGACGAGGGTATAGCTCATGGGAAAGAAACGTGAGACAGAGGGCGCGGCATAGGCAGGATGTAAGGGGAGAGTGTGAACATGTGGAGACGAGATGGGATCATACGAGAAAAGGCGATGGAGTCAAAAGGGAGAGACGGGGAGGTGGCGGTTAGGAAAAGAAAGGACAACGGCGAGGAGAGGAGGGGGAAGAGGGCAGGGAAAAAGGCGGAGCAGGGAGACACGGGAAGAGTGCTGCAGCAACGGCCAAACAACGAATGTCGTCTGCGAGCAAACGGCGAGACTAAATCATCCCTCAGGTAATACCATGCAAATGATGGCGGTGAGGAGGATGAGGAGGAGGAGGAGGAGGAGTAGGAGGAGAAGGAGGAAGAGAAGGACAAGGAGAAGGACGGGGTGCTCGGCTCTTGGTTGGATGTCGTGCAAACTCTTGCCCTCCGATACTAGTACCATCGAATGCGCGAGCGCGGGCCA